AAAGGTTATTTTTTTTAATCGATCGACACTTTGGATCAATACAGTAACTGCATGACTTAAGCCAGGTTCATTGTCACAATTTTATAGACAAGAAAATGGAAGCTCAGAGAAATGTGACTTCTCCAAGATCACAGGCAGATAATATAGTGGAGATATCAGGATTAGAATCTACAGACTGCAACTTGTTCAAGTTCCTTTCCTATCATACTATCCTGCACTTCTCTTTCACTTAGGAAGACAGGAATACTAGGGAAAGAAGGGTGTGGAGAGACATTAATTTATTTTTTTCATTGATTCCTGAGGTTGATCCTATAGGAAGAGAACAAAATGTTTAAAAAATAGTATTTGTAAACTATGGAAACTCCTTGATAATCCTTGGTATACATTATCAGATTTTAAGACCTCACGAGCCCCTGAATACATTCTATAGTTCATGTAGTTCCCTGCAAGAGATGGCTAAGCAAGTCACTCAGAGCAATTATGACTTCAGAGAATGGGCTTAATCAGGAAATATTGACACAGATTTCTGTAAGTATTGTGCCTCAGAATATACAAGGAAATGATCATGCTTTTCTTATAGAACAACAAGGACCCCGAAATCACAGATACTCAAAAACTATTCAGAAAAATTCTGACCAACTCAAGAGAAATGAATTTAATATAGATATGTAGAACAGAAGCTGGCTGCTCATGCAGAGAACCGGGGTTCAATTCTCAGCAACCACATGACATCTAATAACATTCTGTATTGCCAGTTTCAGGGGACTTGACACCAATTCTGATTTCCATGGGAACTGCACACACATGGTGCATAGTCAGACACACTTGCAGGAAAAGCATCTATGCTAATAAAATTTTAAATATAAAACAAAAAGAAATTCATTTTCAAGATTTGTTATAACATCACAAGATTTATATTGGAGAGAAAATAACCTTGTGTTTGTGATTGCTATTTACGAATCAATGCCTTCACTTAGAGTACTCAGAATTGAGAAACAGATGAATCCAAACATTTTTAAATTGTGGGTTAGAAATACATTCTGGAGACAGATGTATTTTTAAAAGAGAAGTTAATGTTTATTATGTTAATTAATTAATTTTACATGTATGTGTGGGTACCTGAGTGTAATGTAGTACAATGCACGCATGGATGTACCCTCAGAGGTCAGAAGAAGGTGTCAGATCAGCTGCAATAGGAGTTGCACGTGATTGTGAGCTGCCCAGTGTGGGAATTAAACCTAGGTCTTTCGTAAGAGCAGCAAATGCTCTTTAGTGCTGAGCCAGTTCTCCAGTCCCCATTCTCTCTCCATATATAAAAAATATGTATATATATATGTGTGTGTGTGTGTGTGTGTGTGTGTGTGTGTGCGTGCACACATGCCTGTGTGTGTGCGCATGCACACGTGTGAAGGGAAGAGAATAAGTTTTAGGAGTCAGTTCTCTCCTCCTGTCAAATGTAGGCACAGAACATTAAACTCAGGTCTTCAGGCTTGGCAGCAAGTGCCTTTACTCTTTGAGTCATCTTTATGGCTCTGCTTTCTCTTGAAGGCAAGATAGACAGTGCCTATATTATGCTTCTAATCACCTAGTTTAAGAGACCAATGGACCAGGAAAGTAAGTGTCTTAGTTCTGGATTCTATTGGTATAATAAAACATCATGATGAAAAGCAACTTGGGGAGAAAAGGATTTATTTCTTCTTCCACCTCTCAGGTCACACTCCATGACTGTGGGACAGCCAGGACAGGCAGTCAGGTCAGGATCCTGGAAGTAGGAACTGCAGCAGAGGGCATGAAAGAATGCTACTTAGTGGCTTGCTCTTCATGGCTTGTTCAACTTGCTTGCTCACCAGCCCACAGTGAACTAGGCCCTCCCACATCAATCCTTAATCATTAATACCTCACGGACTTGCCTACAGGTCAGTATTATGGAAATATTTCCTCAGCTAATATTCTCTCTTTTGGGGAGAAATGCTGTCAATCTTATATAAAAATCTAGGAACCCACCACATCACCCTATATGTGCTCACCCTTATCTATCGCCTATAAATCTATCAGCTCCTTTACCAAAATTTCTCTGTAAGCTTCCCTGAGGCCTTGTTCATGTTATCATTCTTTTCAACTGCGTATAAAAAACTTACTGAATAACTGTAAAATAGCTGGGGATTGAAGCAGTCTGAGGACTATAGGTTACAAAACTAAAACAAATTTCAAACTGTTGTTTCCTGCTATGTTTGAAAGGTTTCTGTTTTTAGTGTCTGTGTGTATGTGTGCGTGTATGTATAACACATGCACCTGCTGAAAAAAAAGTGGAGGTCAGAGAACAATTTGCAGAATTGGGTTCTTTCCTTCTGTCATGTGGACCCCTGGGGTGAACTCAGACTGTCAGCCTTGTAGTAAGCACCGTTAACTGGGGAGCCATCCTGCTCGCCCTTCTTCCTGTTTTGAATCTTTGAAAAATGTTTTCCTTCTGAAATAATTTCTTAACTACTTAAGGCAAATCACTTTTCTTTGACACTTGTGAGGGAAACGAGATAGGTATCTTAATTTGTACTATAACATATCAAATAACTATGGATTTAATATTAATTGCTGATAGACTCACTTTTTTTTTCTTTATTTGTATAAAACAGTCAGCTCATTATCTTGAGATAGTGATGTTGAATTATATCTGTTTGGCAGGCTAAACAGGCAACCCAAATTTAACAGGCCTAAATAAATTCTTTTATGTTTTGGTCTTTTTAATTAAAAATATTAATATATATTCATTGTACATTGTGACTAGTTTCAGAAAGACAATTTCTTTAAGTATGTCATGTACTTTGGCTGCATTCATCACTGGTACTCTCCCTCTTCTACCCATCCCCTCTTCTCCCGCTAGTCTAACTTCTAAATCCTGAACTCACTCCCCACACCTCTATATATCTCCTCCCCTTTCTTCTCCACCTCAGAAATAGCAAATTCTACTCATTTCGTTCTTTATATACCAAACTCTCGAGGTCATTCTCAGCTCTTCTCCGTCTTTCATATTCTTTGATAAATCTCAAAATCTGATTAGCCATTTCTTCAAAATCCTTCTAGAATCATACCATTTCCTACCAACTATTCTGCTTCCACGCTATTCTAAGCCACTATCATCTCTTGCCTGGATATTGTCCCCTTTGGGTCTCCCTTTTCCTACTCTTTCTAAATCATTTTCAATAGAGAAGTCAGAAGGATTCTGTTAAAATGCAAGTCAAATCTTGTCATTCCTCTTCAGACTCATTCAATATCCCCCCACTGCATGAGGAATAAGAAACTAGGACCAAGAAGCCAGTAAAGACCCTGGCTCCCCAGGCTCTCAAGGCTGTAGAGTGACTTTTACTGCCTGCCCTCATTGCCTTTATTTCTCTTACTCTCCTCCCAGTCCTTCTGATCTTCCTGAAACACACCATGCATTCTCTGTTTCAGGGGAGGTTTGTTTTGTTTTGATTCTGGCTGCCTTTTCCCCTCAGAAATCTACTTGGCTTACCTTCATTTCCCTCAGGTCCTTCTCAACTGCTCCCTTATCACAGAGCCCGCCCTTGATCACCTTATAGTATACCCTATTATTACCAGTCTCCCTGTCTCATTGCTGTAGGTTTCCTCACAGCACTTATCAACACAAACTTTGTTTTCTGTTTATCTGTGCTATCGAAGTAAAGCCCCCTGGGGAACAAGAAATATTCATTGAGGTCTGTCATGTACCAAGTTCTTTTCTAAGCAGTAAGAATATAGACATTAACCAAACAAACACAGATATTCTTACCGCTTCTAGCCTAGTGTGATATAAATTGGTTGTATTTACTCAGTAAATATTTGAAGGATGTGTTGGAAAAACACAGTACATAGTTGGCAGAATAACAAGAATGGCTTTCAAAAGGAGACTTGGATTGGCTTGTCACCTTTTAACCAAATGAGACACTCATCACATCAAAAGAAATGGTTTTATAGCCTCTTAGGTGAAAGGTTAAATATCGTAGACAATTCTATGATCTCCAGGTATGCTTTATCCTTAACTCTAAGGCAGTACTAGCCCTGTATCTTCAATTGATTCCACTTTTTGGAACTGCTTCAATCATTGGTCCCTACTTACATTGACAAATGTCAGCTTAAAAATCTCATTTTCATCTTTATAAAATCATATTGCTTTGTAACCCCCTATAGACACATATCATCAGCAGATGTAGCCAGACACACTGTCTTTGAATCCAGATGGCTTTTCAACAGCCCAGAGCTATGTTTCCTATAAACCTCTGGCCAAAGGGGTAGTGTTCTCTCAACTGACAGAGTAACATTGAAATACAGCGATTCAAAGACCTTGCCCAGGAGCTACCTCAACATTTTGTCATCCAACTGAATATACTACTAGTTAACTCAAAGCTATTACACCCACAATGGCAATGGTTTTCACGGGTAAATCACTGCCTAGCTGAAGGGATAGTAAACACTGTCGAGTTCTATTACAACACAGTGAGGCAAATATTATACCAAATTCTAAAGTCATATAAAAAGAACTGGATCCTTGTCCTCAAGGAACTTACAGAGTAATGATACATGCTTTAGTTTATATTTGGACATAGTAACAGATACCAAAATTGTTATAATTATCATTGGAAATAATGTACCATATAAATGATAGACTGACAAAATACTATCAGTTCCAAAAATAGGATTAAATTATCTTCGTGGACATGGCAAATATGTTATGTCCTCAGGAGAGAGGAAGTCTTTAGGGAGAGTGCCCTTAAGGGACATAAATGCTACCATGGTCCTCAGCTACCATGGTCCTCCAAGCATACTGAAAAGGGACTGGGGGTATCTGGGGTTAGAGGATCCTTCCATTGTTAGTTCTATGGCAAAGGACTGCTCAGCAGGGTAGGCTGGAGAAATCAGTGATCTTTGGATAACACAAGAGCACTAAAGAGTGTTTTTATTAACATTTCAAAAGTCAGAGTGATAAAGGATCACTTGAGTAGACTCACCATCTGCTCCTTCACCACTTTTGCTTCTTTTATTGCGGCGAACACGCCTACTTTCCTCTTCAGAATATGCCTTTTCATCAGGAAAGAAGAAATTCAGGAGGGCCATCTGTAAAATTAATAAGTAGATATGTCTTATGTTAGCTATAGCCAACATAAGAAACCAACTAGCTGTCTTTCAACAGATAGTCCTTCTTTACCTTAAATTCAATATATCTAAAATCTGAGCTCATCTTTCCTTCCACTTTTCCAATGAATGGAATCATTACTCCCACTTTTCCAATCATGGAATCATTATTATTCTAATCATGTAGGCATGAAACTTGTTAATCGCCAAAGCCTCTCTATTCACTCTGAATAGCTATGAGAAATCCCTTAGGTTACATCTGTCCACAAACTTCTAATACTCCTCCTACATTGCTGATGGCTATCCAGAACTAGCCTTGGATTTTCTATTACCCCTTGGACTTTATTATCATATACATCGGATTTTGCCATATTTCTTACTTTTGCTCTGCTTTTAATTTGTTTCTAGAGTGGGGAGAACCCAACTGTGAGGTGTCATGTATGTCAACTCTCTTCTAGGAGTTAAGTCATGATAAAGTGCACACTAGTTCACTGCCTTTCCCAACCCCCATCAGAACATGTGCTCTATAAGACTCAGTTCAATGAAAAACAACAACAGTAGACTATTTTTCCTATTCTGTTAGTTTTAAAAGGAAACCTAAACTAGTTATCACTCAGTTACTAAGATTTTATACAGTAATGTATCTGAAAAAAGTAAGTCTTGCATTAAAAGGTCCTCATTCTAATATTTGGTCCTCTAATGTCTTATAACTATTGCTTATGGCAACATAATATGTTTTTTATGTGAATGGATCTGCTTTCACTAACAATAATCATAGCTTAAGTATATCCTTGAGGTGAAAAGATGTGCCTAAGGTAAACAATGGACAGAGTTTTAGACTTGAGTGATTCTAAACTCAATGCTATTACTTGCTATCCATGTAACCTTGAACAAGTTTCTTTAGTTTTAATTTCCTCATTTGAAAACAGGGATGATAATAGCACTTTACTCATAAAGCAGTTGTAGGATCATCACAGTAACCATTTCATGTAATACACACTCAATAAGTGTTAGATATTGCTATTTTAAGTACATTATTTTGAAACATTCTATTGTCATTTGGAAAAAATAATAATCCCAGTGTCCTCATGTCTGGTGAATTTCTAGTTAAAAAACTGGGTTGGACCCAAGAAAACCCTAACAGTCTACACAAACTTTCTTCAAATACCTATGATTTATTGTTTGTGTTAAGGCACAGACATCTAGGAGGATACATTCACTGATTAACTATCAAACAATAAATGAATATGTGTAATCTATAGATTATTAATCATATCACATTTAAAAACATTTAGGATGATCCACTTGAAATAGTCATTTTCCAGAAAGCCCCCAGACTCTCCTAAAACAATATAGGCTGTTGCCATTGCTCTTGGTTACCTTCTAGAACTAGATGGTTAAGACCCTATTGCTGAATACAGCACACACTTAGGTTAGGGGACACACAGAATCAATCTGAAAATGGGTTAGAAGCATCCTCCCTGCTGCCTAACATTTATAGTACTGGAAGTTGCTATGCAGGCTGTTTAGGAAGAAAAATTATCATCAATGGTCTTTGTCACCCTACACATAAAAAACTGACCATTAAGATAAGATATGTCCACTGGTGCAATAGTTGACGGCAACCAATAGCTTTTTGATTGGATTTGAGGCCAACCCCACAGGAGGAAATGCATGCCTGGTAGTTGAAACCCGGCCAAAAGCCCATGGTTGGGGAAGTCACAGGTCCTAGGGGGAAGCTTACTATCTTGATTTGCTAAATGAACATGCACCTAAATTGCCTTCTAAGTATTACTGATATCTATAGACTAGTAGTTCTCTCAGTCTTTAGAGAAGGTTTGGTTCAGTAGGTAGAAGTTAGTGCAGTGACTCATAACTGGCTAAAATGTAGATAAAAGTGACTGTTGAGTGCTTATTCCTAAACAGGACTCTACATTACTCTCTCCAAGGTCCAGGCAACATCTTAGCTAGAAGATGGGGAAGAGTGTTGTGAAATATTGCCTTCTGTATATGACATGCCCATTATATATATATGAACATATAGTAGCTGTGGTAATCAACACAAGATTGGGTCCTTCAATATTCCATTATGTATGGGGAGAGGCTCATGAGATTCCAGCACCCTCCCTGAGGAACTATTGGCAGTTAATGGCTGTTGGGAGAAGGAGAGTTTTTTTTCTTCAGTAGTATAGACTCTGGTAAGTTGCCATAGTCCAGTAAATCCAGCCCAATTAAACTCAGTGTATCACAAATTAGACATGAAAGTTGGAGGGGGACCAGCTCGGAGGAAGAATGGAGTCATCAGGAGTGGGAATAAGAGAGGATAACAGAAAGAGAACTGTAAACAGAGACTGTACTTTTGTTTCCTGGCCACCCAGACCCGAATAATCACACAGAAACTATATTAATTACAGCACAGTTTGGTCAATGGCTTAGGCATAGTCCTAGCAAGCTCTTACATCTTAAATTAACCCATTTCTATCACTTTATATTTTTCCATGAGGCTTGTAGTTTACCAGTAAGGTTCTGTGGTATCTTTCTCCTTCAGCAGCTACATGGCAACCAACTGCCTAACTTTGCCTTCTTTTTCCCTGCTTTCATTTTAGTCTCCCTGTCTACCTATACTCTGTCCTGCCATAGGCCAAAGCAGCTTCTTTATTAACCAATGGCAATAAAACATATTCACAGCATACAGAAAGGACTCCTACATCAGAGAATATGATTATAGTACATTGTATATATGTAAGAAATTGTCAAAAAATAAAAAAGTTAACACACACATTTTTGTATGCAAAATAATTGGGGTTTGGGAGATAGCTCAGTTGGTCAGGAAACCATGAGGACCTAAATTCAATCTTCAGGCCACACATAAAATAGCTAAATGCAGTAGTCTGCACTTGTAATTCCAATACTGGGGAGCTTCCACATGCACACATTCACACATGCATCTATACACACACATGCACCCACAGAATACACACACACACACAATTGAATATCAGAAGTTTCACATGTTTCAAATGATTAGTATTTTGGAGTCACTAGACTGGAATATAAAATGTAGTTTCCTGTAGAATCGGCATAAATCTGGTCAGGCCCACAGAAATGTAACTTAAACAACCATATAAATAAGCTAATATAACACTAGTAATATAAAATCAAATTAGGATTTAAAATAAAATCTCAAACACACCTGGTGTGGTAGCCAATATTTGTAATCCCAGCATGCTGGAAGCTGAGGCAGAAGATAATGAACCAAAGTCAGGCTATGTTACTTAATAAAACCTGGTCTGGAAACCCAAACAAACAAAATAGAAACTCAAACAAACCCTCAAACCAGAAAGACTACCAATAATCTTGGGATAGAACAAGCTTTTGTTTTTGATTTTTTTTATAACTTTGAGTAATAGAACTTGGGCTATCATGGATAGAATTTAGTTTTACTTTTTACTTGCAGAATAAGTGTAGGCCTATTTGCTTGTACACTAAATGAGCCCAGTCTACTATCCTGAGGGGCTTTTGGTTTTATAATTTCATTACAGATAAATACATGCTTCGTTAAAAAGGAGCCTAAGATTGTCTGGGGGCAAAGAGGAAGCACCTAATATAGATTGCTAATAAATGAGGCTTCTTAGAGGAGATGTTAACATTACAAGTCCTGAATGATGTCAAGGATTTAGTGACAAATGGGAAATAAAAAAGTGCTGTGTTTAAAGTCTCAGATGCCCCTCAACCAAGAACGGCTAAAGAAAATGTAGTACATTCACACAATGGCATATTACTCATCTGTTAAAAACAGTGAGACATCATGAGATTTGTAGACAAATGGATGGAACTAGGAAAAATCATCCTGAGTGAGGTAACTCAGACCCAGAAAGACAAACACAGTATGTACTCACTCATAAGTGGATATTAGATAAAAAGCAAAGGACAACCAGGCTACAATCCTTAGTCAAAGAGAAGCTAAGTAACAAGAAGGACTCTAAGAGGAATGCACCGATTGCCCTGTGAAGAAGAAATAGATGAGATGTCCTGGGTAAACTGTGGGTGGGGGAAGAGGGGAGAGGATGGGGGAGGGGAACACGAGGAATCAGGAGGGTCGAGTTGGGGGTAGGACAGAGGGGAGAGTAATGAAAGTGATACCTTGATAGAGAGGTCAATTATGAGGTTAGGGAGAAACTTGGTGCCAGGGAAAATCCCAGGAACCCACAAGGATGACCCCCGTTAAGACTCCTCACAATAGGAGAGACAGTGCCTAAACTGGTCTTCACCCTGTAAGCATACTGGTGACTATCCTAAATGTCACCATAGAGTCTTCATCTATTAACTGATGGAAGCAGATGCAGAGATCCACAGCTAAGCATTGGGCTAAGCTCCAGAAGTCCAGTCAAAGAGAGGGAGGAGGGGTTATATGAATGGGGGAGGGGATAGAGTGTCAACATCATGATGGGAAAACCCACAGAGATAGCTGATCTGAGCTTGTGGGAGATCATGGACTCTGGACCAACAGTTAGGGAGCCAGCATAGGACTGACCTAGGACCTCTGCATCTGGGTGACAATTGTGTAGGTTCGTCTTTTGTAGGGCCTCTAGCAGTGGGACCAGGATCTGTACCTGATGCATGAGCTGGTTCTTTGGAACCTACTGGGATGCCCTGCCCCGCCTTGATACAAGGGGGAGGGGCTTGTTCCTGCCTCAACTTGATTTACCATGCTTTGTTTACTCCCATGGAGGCTTTACTCCTTCTGAATGGAGTTGGAGGAGGAGTGGATGGAAGTGGGGTAGAAGGCAGGTAGGGGGAGGGAATGGGAGGAGAGGAGGGAAGGGAAACTGTGGTTGGTATGTAAAATAAATAAATAAATTTTGTTTTAAAGTTTATTTTTGATGATTTCATACATGTATATAATGTATTTTCATTATATTCATCTCATTCCCTTCTTTTATCTTCTTCCCATTCCCTCTGAAACTCCTTTTTCCAACATG